ATTTCAAACAAAAGAAACAATAAAACGATGGCAGCAAATGAAATCTACCGAAAACAAACACGGACGACGGACGTCAATGAAAAATGCACAAATGTCAATTTAGCATCGTCGGTCATAATGACTCGTTTACAATAAACGGAACAAACCATTGTGTCTACACTCGAGATAATCCGATCGCTGATTGGTTGTATTAAATATCGTGAAAAATTGCACCAATCATGAGTAAAACAAAATGTTGCGTTTTAACGTAGTCTTGGTCTTATTGTTTCAGTAATTTTTAATTTTACCAGAATTTAATTACCAACGCGAAAGAAATAACATTACTGGTCACCTGGCCTGTAATCATTTATGATGACTCTGTAGTAAAATGTTAATGTATAATCGATTTAGTAATTTCAACTTGGATATTTGACATCAAAGACTAGATAATAAGGAGTGGACTTAATATGGGATACATCTAATTTGTATTCGCTTTAAAATAAACGTAAAATAGAGGAGCCAATATTACGAAAGCGTAAAAACATGTTGTTTCTTCAAAACTGTACTTGCGAAATATGTACTAGTGGTACATTAAAGCAACAATGCGGCTGCTCTATTTTACAACGGAGTTCATAGTGAGCATCTTCGTTGCATATACGGAAGCAAACTGCTCATTCTTTATCAGCCCAGGGGATGATTATATACGTTTTCCATCCACTTTGCTCGAGTCTCATTCATCGTGTTCCACCCTTCCGATATAACGGCGAACAACGAAAATGACCCGGTCTAATGTGCTTTCACCCGCGAACAAAACTTTCAAAAGCTATCATCAGCATCTTGTTCGCTGCCCGTCCCGTCGCGTATCCCACATCATTTCTTATTTTGCGCCAGGAATTTGGATGGACGTCAGAGTTGTTGGGCGCATCGAGAAAACAATTTATTTATTCAAGCGAGCGTATTTGGTGATGTACGAGTCTATTAGTATCAATTCTAAAAACTAATTTCAATAAAATAATTGATAGATATATAATTAAATATAATCTTGTTTATGATTAGTAAAATTATTAACTACACTTATGATTTATGTAGGTTCTAAAATTATAGTATACCCTGCAGTTACCTGCAATATTATTTTACTTCCAGGTTACTGAAATTAGCATAATTTTTCATTCATAAAATATATCTAAAATAGTAAGGTGGATACAAGTAAAATTACGCTATACTTCTGGATGTACCTAATTGTTTGGGTTCTAAAAATTTGGCTAGACCAAATTTCACTAACTAGATAAATGTTTGTCATATGAAAGGGTTAAGATAGATATGACTTATTCTTGCGACCATATCGCTTGCTTAAAAGATAAGTAAAATTATTCACCACACTTCTGAATGTCGGTTCCAATCACACTGTCGCTACTATAATTAATTTCATTCTTATATTATTTGTAAATTATTGAACTTCTAATGGGTAAATGCAGATACATTTTGTTGAAATAAATAGCTTTTTTCTCAGTATAGGAAGCGGCAGGACAGCGGGCGAACCACCGAATTTCAGGAGAGCTCGAAGCTAGCTGCTGGCCTGGCTTCGCTACCCGCTGGGGATACCCCCGGACATGTATCGGATTTATGTTGTACAGCCTGACAAATGACGCTTAAGTTAACTCGGGAAGTTTCTGCTGAACACACATTTAGTGCTCAAAGTGTGATGATATTAGGGAACTTTTGGGAAACTTTAAATATAAAGTTGTTCCAACAGAAAAATAATGATACCCACTAAATTTAGCTACGTAATTTATATTCTGCGTTCGGAATGAATTAAAAATGACATGCAGTGGAAAACTTAGATATTACTTTGTCGTCTGAGAACTTTGGAATTAAAATTTTCCTTCGTAAATAACTCCCTTTTTACTTTCTGATGTTGGTCGCATTCTAATTACACTAAAGCGGATGTTTCAAGTGTATCATGATAACTTGATGACTACTATTTATCCACGTTTGGTCAATCGTTTGGTCAATCTAGACGATAACAAAAAGTATTCCAAAAATGACATTTCGAAATTATATAGTGATTTTATTGTGATGTGTCATGTTTTATTAATTTTATTAATAATTTATTTTATTTTATTAATAATTAATTCTACTGTAACTGGTATTAAGCTAATTCAAACTATGCCTCAAAATTTTCTTCAGGTGAAGTTATATTTATAATAATCGTTACACATTTGGTCAATATGTCAACCGTACCTTTCCCATTTTAAATCTTCATAGAAAGGAGAGAGAGAGAGAACCAGCTGCGCCAATTGTAGACTCTTTACGTGACAAGTGCTATAAGGATACTTCTATCTATATCACACCCCATAACCTAAATCAAGTTATATAGAAAAAGAAAAGCTCCTCATAGATTGATATCTCCATATAGGAAGATGGGTGTATATTACTCACTCGCCAACCTCGATTTTTACTGAATACTATCGACGGCAATCCCCCGAAGTCCATGTATCACACGAAAAATTATTATCCTCTAAGTCGATCACCAACATAAATTTGAAGACGGTGGTCTCAGGAGAATCTCTCTAAATAAATTGTACCAATCTCGCTCTGCACCCAATCCAACATAGTACGCGCTGATGGTTGTTTAATCCATCCCAAAAGCGTTATTCTGTGAACATTTACATCTGCGATACGGAGTCGGAAAATGTCATGTATTAGGACCCGGTGAAAACGTTGGTGTCTCAGATTTTCTGTAAATTGTGTAGTTTTGCAAGGAATAAGATTTTTCCCTAAATATATAATAAAAAAAATCAAAATATCTCGCAAAGACTATCAACTTTTTCTCTGCATTAAACAAGAAGTCAAAAAAAGAATTAAATTTCTGCACCATGTTTATGAAAATATCATTCATTAGTTGTACCTGACGTTATAAATAAGTTTAGGAATGCCTAATCAGATATGTTGTAAATTTTCAGGGACTAATGATTCAACATAATGTCATTAATTCTAAGGGAAGATAGGGAAAAATTAGTAGAATACGCGATAAAAAAAATTTTAAAATACATTATTTAGGCTGAATACAAAATTTTTTGAAATCATTATTTAAACCTCTTTTTGAATCGCTCTTGACCGCTGACACAAGCTTTATCGAGAGTGAATCTTGACAGTCGGTCATTAACCTAGCTTTTAATACATTTTTAATCTGTAGTGAGCTATAGTGAATAAATAAAGCTTTTTAGCCAGACATGTGAATGAATTTGAATTATTCACACACATTTTTATCTTTGTCAAATTATTTGGTGTAGTTGAAAGTCAAGACCACCATCAGGCTCAAATACTCAAAATAGAATCGCAGGAAAATACTATTTCGATCCACTTAAGATATAATTATCTGTTTCCTGCTTTCAAAACATTGCGAAAAATTATTATTGTTCCTGAAGGACTTCATAATTTAAGAGTTCACATATCTCAAAGAAATAGGTGCATGCGCATTAACATTAAGTATAAAACTAGACTAATAATCTGAAAGCATAACGAGAGTGTCTTCCAATTGGCATTTTTGCCTCAGATTGCAAATTTCCACAAATTTCTCATATAACGCGCAAGTCTCGCAATCCGCACGTGATGTTATGACCTCATCCATCAGCCGTAGTCTTCAAATGCGAGTTAAATAAGTTTCCGCCAAGTATTAGGGTGTTTCGGGTCGTTAAGGAGGTGAGGGCGGAATCGAATCTGGCCTCATACATCATACACAGAGAGTGCGTCTCGGAGCTACGTCACTCGGTCCGCGCACCTTGATATTAAATTAATATTCAAACCGAAAATTAATCTGTCTAAAAATACTCACGTTCGAATCGATAAATGTTACAGGCTGTTGATTTGTTGCAGAAAAGACGGTTGGTCTTATATCTCATTGGAAACATCGGTGAAATGTCTTAATTTTTTTTAAAACCAAATTAGTTGAAGGGAATGATAGTTAGTGTCATGTAAGTAAATGTTTACCGATGTTCCGAATAATGATTGAACTCACATAATCAGTATTACATTGAGTTGAATAGCAGCAGAAAAGGCAGTTGTTGCTAAGAAAAATCGTTTATCTTGTAATCATTATACAGAATATCAATGAAAATGTTTTTGCAATATAATAACTGTCATCTTTTGATTAATGTGCTTTAAAATCCTTAGGTGTTTATACTTAGAGCAGTCGTATATTTATACGGTATACATACTTGACGCAAATATTATTCTCAGCAAACCTGTGCGCCTTGTTGACAAATATGCGAACGTTTGACGTTTAGTTTTGTTTAAGGCAGTTTTATGCGACACTTATAAAGTATAGAAAAAAGTCTACATTTCGTAAAATTATTACAAAGAAATAAGTTATTATAATGTAAAGACCCCGTCGCTGACAGTCATTGTTTCGAATTAATGTGTTTTAAAATTCATAGATGTGTATTCTTAGGAAGGTAGCAAATACATTTGTTTTGGCCCATACAAATATTCTCAATGAAACTATACGTCATGTTAACGAACTTGTCTACGACATGTCGCATAAGAATGCAAACATTCTACCATTAACGCTCAAATTTGTCTAGAACATTTTTGTGTATCAAACGTATAAAATTAATGAAAACAAAATGTCTGCTACATCTTCTATAAGTACCGTCTTGACTTAACATGTAGGTTTATTATAGCATTTTAATGCATCATGTGTACCTGTTTGTTGAAACTAAATGTGTCTGTGACATGTCTTAACAAGTATTTAATTGTCTTAATTTGCCACAACATATTGTTTACTGTAAACGCATAGTTTATTTAGAACATTTAAGTACGCTAAGGGTACTTGTCGAAACAGCCTATCGTTCAGAAATATATTGTATGTGTATAAAAACATAAGAAAGGCTCTATCTCACTTATCATAAGCGTCCATTGAATACAAAAATGTTGAACTATGCTCCCGCATGAACAGTTCGGGTTATATATTAGATTTACTTCTCTATTTATTATTCGACTAATATTTCATTTGGTTTCAGGGTCGGTGTAACAGAGAAAAGCCCCCATGCAAATACTTCCACCCTCCTCAGCACTTAAAGGACCAGTTGCTTATAAATGGCAGGAATCACCTCGCGCTAAAGAATGCCCTCATGCAGCAGATGGGCCTGACGCCCGGTCAACCTCTAGTTCCAGGACAAGTCCAGGCAGTGGTGAGTTATTTTGCGGGGACACGCCCCTACCTAGATTATTTGGGTTGCTGCACTGTTATTAATGCATTAGTACAGGAGACTAAGTTGTTGACCCGGAGGGACTGTGCCATTAGGTCCCTTGAATATTTCTCCAGATTGGTAGTGAATCTAAAACCAGCTTAATGCGTTGTTCATTAATATTGGTAATGTTTTTAAATGTTTAGATGACTTTGCAATAATATAATATTAAATCACTTAAGTTCGTGAAAAGCCGCAACAGCTTGCTCTCCTCGAAGATACTGAATTTTATTAAAAATTGTTTTGTATGTTTCCGCACGTTGGCACGGCGATATATTTTTTTTAATTTAATTTTAACTGTTGTGTACAGTATCAGTTTCCTTTTTGTAAGCACGTGCATGGAGTGGTACCGGCCTTTATTTATTTGGTGTTGGTACTAATTTATTATTGGTTTTTTATTGGAGGTGGATCCGCCAATAGACTGCCTTCCCCTGACCTTCTTCCCCCACCTGTCCATGACAATTGACGAGCAGTACGCACTTACGGTAAAAATTACCCCTAAATCAACCCTTAATGCTATCGTCATTGCTTTTTTGCTATCATGTCACCACCATACATTCGTAGCTAAAAAGTTGCTTCATTAATTCGAGAGCTGAATAGAGTCGACACTGTTTTTTGAACAAAACTTTTAATCCATATAAATTTGACCCCGCAACTGGGGTAGTGAAATTTAGTATTTCAGCTTTAAAGTAATTTATTATACACAATTTATCTTTAGTAAGTCGGATAATTCTCGAACAACTAAAGTTTAAACTATGTACATTATTACTAATTACAGGTCATGTAATGTTAAATAATAAATTTTAATTTTTCGGGAGATTAACTGATGGTAAAGTTTCATATTTTGCATATTTTTCACGCACTCAATTAACTTTTGTTTGTTAGAGAAAAAAATATGTTGTAAAAAATTTTATCACGCCTTTTTTGGGAAAAAATGGCATATAAGTTATTTATGCAACCAGTGCAATTTGGCACGCGATGCAAAATTGTTAAACGAGGCCTAAAACCGAATTTGAAAACACAAGGCATCAATAAGTTTTAGTGCACGAACGGGGCGTGCCAAAAGTAAATGTCAAATTTTTTCAAAACTCATTTTCGGCCGGTATTTTGTACCCATTAAACAGCTACAGATTAAAGAAATATTTAAATAAAATTAAAAAAACTAACTCTAATTTTTATGCTTCTGTTTGTTTATTATTAACTCAACTAAACACCTCGAATTATGCTCCAATTGTAGGAATGTATCACCTTGGAAATCAAGAAGGAGAAAAAAAATTATACAGTAATTGTTATTTTTGAAGAGTTAAATAATTGTTTCAAATGTTGAAACTTATTTTTGGAACACCCTGTATACACATATGTTTTCACAATAGCAAAAAGGTGATTCGTTTTGATACTACGTTGAATATCAAAAAGTTGTCATTAACACTTGTAGAAAAAATAAAATATCTGGCTGTTATATCAAAGTGACAAAGGAAAGTGAATATCTTAAACAATAATATAGATTTATTGTTTAAGATATCTTACTTTCATAAAATTTTGATTTTTTTTCGATGTATAAGGTTTCAATTCCAAGTAAATCATTTGTTAAAAAAAGTAGTGTACATTAAGACACTTGATAGAAAAGAAATAGAAAATGATAGAAGAGAAAAGGCATGCACAAATCTAGAGCGTATTAGTTTAACAGTAAGCGTTAAATATAATTCATGCATCATAAAAATATTGTTTAAAAATTGATAATGATATCGAAAAAAATATATACAATAAGGCAGTAAAGCATTTTATCGAAATCTTTGGGTTCTTGGAAATGTCCAGATACGTTTGATATTACTTTACGCTTTGTTCTTTTAATTTTCGGTATAGGTGCTATATGGTAATCGTTAACTGTATTAAACAATTTTAAAAAACTAGCTGGCAGTTAATTTCACGATATTTATCACAAATTTGATAGAATAACTTTATTTTAGCCTTTAGAATGTGGTCAGAGATTGAATATATTTTTTTGTATGGTTAAATAATAGTTCTAGTTAAATATCACCACATTGTTTTAGTTTACCCACGACACACTTGAATTATTTGGCTCTCGTTTTGAATGATTTTTTTTAACTCAATAAAACATCTTTCACGTTGCCTTCCATCGCTAATGGCTTTGCATGCAGCATCTTCACCTGCCTCCCGCCCGAACATCGGAATAATGTGATTTTGTTGCTCTTTTCAGGCGGCCAATCCCTACCTTACGGGAATGCCACAAGTAGGAAGCACGTACAGCCCGTACTTCGCTCCCGGCCCCATAATGCCCACGATAATGGGCCCGGACCCCACGGGAGTGGGCTCGCCGTTGGGCGTCGTGCCCCAAACAGTAGTAGCACAACAAAAGATGCCTCGCTCTGACAGATTAGAGGTATGGACTCCTATTTATTTGCCTTTACCTTCGCCCTATTATTTCAATTTACTCTAATTTAATTTATTAGGTACCACAAACGACCGATATGTTGTGTATTATTATTTTTACCTTTTACACCTACAAAATGGGGAAACTGTACATCATTGTTTTATTACGCAGCGTTAAGTTTTTTGTAGCCGTTATTCATTTTGTTTGGTTATTTTAAGTTTGCTTATTTTTCTTTATGTATGCTTTTGGCGATATCATGCGAATATTTCAAATATTCTCAGACAAATAGATGTCCCGAAATAAAATGGAATTCAATCGTAAAAGCAAAATATTATTGACACATTGATGTATTTGATGGGATAACATTTGTTGGAATGTCTGAATATGTTCGTACGTGATGAAATTTCCTTTTATATTTATTTTTACTATTCAACATGTAATTAAAAAGGACTAACGTAGTTTACTAATGATTAAAATCATGTTTATTGTTTGAACACCATTAGAAAATATATCTCAATTTGCGTGCAAGAACTTTTGGTTTTTATTTTATTTATTTATTTTATTTTGTTTTACTTTATTTTATTTTCGCAGGTTTATTTGGATTTTAAGCTTGGAACTAAATAGTTTCAAGGTAATAACAATACCTGATTGACACAATTAACACTTTCACACAATTGATGCTAACCCAGCAAATATAGATGTAGTTCAGTCCTCCCCTGTGTAAATATATTTTATTTTTCATTACACTATAGTTTCTATAGCTGTGTACATACAAGTCAAGTATTAGTTTTATTTTTTATTATTACTTCTTCGAGCACTTGTGTAACTTTCTATCGATTGTTTATTCTGCACGGTGTGCTATACCCATTAAATTTTTTCTATGTAGTCTTAGTCCCCTCTGTCTTTTTACAATCTCAAGTAATCTTTGTCTCGCTTTTTCGATAGAAGGTTATTGATTTGGATGATCATTTAGTTTTTTAGATTTCCTTTTATTGCACATCAACCCCTGGCCATTGATCATTCGCCGTCCTAACGTCCCCTGGACATGTGTTCCGATCTGACTTAATTTTCATTGAATCAAATAAAGTAGTTAATGGTTTTGAGTTACGAAATACTGCATTGAAGTACATAAACTATAGTATATCTTTACAGTAATAACTATAAAAATAAGAATCGTTTTTAATAATTGACAAAAGTTAATTTGCTCATTCAAATTTGGTTGCTAAATAAACTGCAGGAAGATGGTCGTGTTATAAAGGATACACATCAAGATTAAGGTTACTGTTAAAACTCTAAAAAAAAACTACTAAAACTCATTAAGAGAAAATATCGAACACAGTCATGAACTTATTTATTGAGATTGAAGTATTTCGTTGAAGGAATAAACTCAAGAGTAACGTAAATTCTAAAATGTGTGCGAACCATTTGAAAAAAATATGTTTTTGTGGCATAACCACAGCATCTATCAGTTAGAGAGCAATTTTTGATATAAATAATTTAATTACGCTGGTACAAATGGGGACAATTAGCGTATATAGATTTTTTTATCAACTGCAGAGTAGTGATTATAGTTTTTAAACATTTTAGTTTTCCTTAAGATCGAACAGAAACAGTAGACACCTATTTGGTACCCCCATTTCTTTTTGCTTTTGACTACACTCCCTCACCTTGCCAGAATGTACCTTTAGCAATGCATACCAATGTACCTTTAGCAATGCATAATTTTATAAAATATTTTTTTAATGCCTTAACCAAATTAGATACAAACTTAATAACATATACAGTGTGTCCCCATATGGGCTATCGTTACAAGAGTAAACTTTTTTATTGTTAATTTTTCGAGATAAAGGTATTCTTCCTAAACAGTTTTGCTTATCTTGGGAAACCATGGGTAGTAATCAAATACATAATAAAACATACCAAAAAATTTCAAAATGTCAAATTTTGCCTAAGCACAGTGCCTTCATTTTTTTAAATGTAATTTGATCACTGAACTTGTAGTAGTTTATGAAAATTCGATGTATATATTCTTAGACAAGATGCAAGAACAATCAATGTAAAAAATGTTGATGCACTACCATATTGACTACCCACAATTTTTGTATAGGATACTTCGTACTCATTTAGATCATACCTCTGCTTAGACTCAAGTCAGTCAAATCAATTTTAGTATATACGGTATGAAAAATCAACTTTACTTTTCTCTTTGAACTGATGCATGTTATTGGAATGGTTGAATAAACATCCATAGATAACTGTTGTGCGAGCGAATGTCGATGGCTTTGAGAATGACCATCAATTAAACCTAAATGATCATCCAATGGTATGGGCTCTGTTTTACCCGTAGTGATATTTAATTTTTAAGTAACTGCGTCCACCAACCGACCATCTTTAGATTCAGAATATGTAGGCGCTCCGCTTGGGATGTGCTTGAATAATTACATTTAGCTAAAATGCTGCAGATAATAGTATTAATTAGTACAGGCGCTTTTTTCGTCGGAAGTTCATGGGATACGATAAACTCCAACAAAAATATTTGTTTTAAAGTAGAACCACTGTTTTTTTTAAGTTTACCATTTAACTTACACATTAACGTTATACAAGGTGTCCTTCAATCCGACTGCCAAACGTCCACAAGTTTTCTTTGGTCAAAATTAATACAAAAAATTAAAATTAACTAGTGTCAGCTTGAAAATGACCAATTCACAGTTCCTTCTAAATCAGTTTAAGTATCAATACCAAGTTTTGTACACGTTTTTGGTTATTGATGATTCATATTTCTAATCGCACAAAAATATATTGCATGGAACCCACTTCTTCATTGCTTCATTGATTAAAAAAATATTTTTTTTCTCTTCAAAATGCAGGTTTTGCCACTGTAACTTAAAATTTTAGTTAAGTGTTACGGTTTTCGTGTAAAATTAAAAAGTATTCTCATATAACGATTATTACCAAGGACATACAAATGAAAGCTTATCAAGAATATATTCCCTACTACATAATTTGTTTAATATCGGCCAATTTCCATTCGTAGGTATAGAGTAATATTTTTTAAATCTAGGCGACGTTTCGTTTCTATTTAAAAACTGCCTCAGGACTTACTAAATACAAATTTATCGTCGACTTAGTTTTAAAAATGCATTTTTAAAAACACCGGCAAATTGAATGGTGAATATAGAAAAAGGATACGAATTAAAAATTAAAAGTAAATAACTTTTATTTACATTTTTTTATTATTTGAATACCTACAACTCATTAGGCCTTAAAATCATTTCCAGTGTTTCAAAAACATATTTGTCAGTCAATGTCACAGCTCTCATTGATATGCTCTTCTTGGTAATAGTTGAAGTAATGATATGATAGAATAGAACATATTATTAGGTGAAACAAATAGATAACATATGCGTAAAGTGAACTATTCGTATAAATAATAAACAAAACAATTAAGAATGGTATGTGAATGGTTTTATATTTATTTTTCATTTTTAAATTTCCCCCAAGTGAGGGGAATGGAAACAACAGCATAGCCAGCAATATCTAGTAAGCATTGCTAGGATCCTTCATCAGTTAAATCCACCAGGCATATACCGGTTTCGGATTTACTAGTCTTCATAATTATGTCGTAGGTGCGAAAACCTGCGAATAATCCAGCTATTTAATGATATTGAATTACAGACATGCAATATCATCAGCTAAAAATGCATAGTAAGCGAGAGAGAACGCACAACCTCTCTCCATATTACAGGTCGCTCTCTGCTAGTGCGGCCGTATTGAAGGCACAGATATTGAATAGCAGTAACTGTAGCACTCTGCTATGTTTACCTACAAAAATAGGTACATATACAGAGCCATCAAAAATGTTTACAATCATCAATATTAATGGTTCTGTTACAATGAAGAATGTCAAACCGGTAAGCCTACGCTCGAAATAATGCGATCGTTGATTGGTTAAATAGAATCTTGTGAAACTAACTGATTGCGTGGCTTGTGATCATTTATGAAGGCTCTGTAGTAATGTTTAATACAAGTAAATGATCGGAACAAATAGAAAGGCAAGACACCAACACATTATATGATAAAAGAGCAGAATAACTGTTTTGAAACTTAATCCATTGTTGCACCAGACTATAAATATGGGATAAATGATATTTTACAGTTCATATTAAGTCACATATTTCAAATTTGCGCGAGACGCAACTATAACATGATGTTTTTCATTTTTAACAGAAAATAAAATTCATTATTACAATTTTCAAAAGGCAATCATTTTTTAAATTAGGTACCTTCTGTTTTTCATGCTACAGAGAACATACATTTTCTAAGAGAAAAGAAATTCGAAATTTTTTATCCGGTTGATTATGAAAAGTGGATTCCAGGTAATATATTTTTAGTAATATACATTAGGGTGGCCCAAAAAAAAACGAATATATTTTTTTTCGTATCACTTATGAAAATATGTTAGTTTATCATGTTTCAAGAGCCCTCTCGAAAAATCAGGTCAAAAAAATTTTTTTAGTGGTTTAAAAAATTTTTAAAATTGGCGATTGGCGATAAAAGTGGCGATTTTTAAAAATTTCCAAATTCGTCAAAAATTAATTTTTTTTTAAATTTTTTTCTCGTTATTTTATCATTTTCTAGGTTGAAAAAAATCTCGATTCTGAAAAATTCAAATCTATATTTTAATTTCTAAAGGTCGTTAATAATTATTTTAACTTTCAAAATAGTGTACCTAAAATGTTTTCGAGCGACTTCTAAAAATAAATATCGACGAAATAATATTTTTTTATTTAATTTGATGAACAAAAGAATAGAAATAAATCATGAGACACTTAAAAAAAATTTCTCGAGGCAAAATCTACTACTGCACTGAGTATCAAATATTTATAATTTTTTAATTTTTTAAAATTTATGTCGTGATTTATTTCTATTATTTTGTTCATCAAACAACTAAAAAAAATATTAGTTCGTTGATATTTATTTTTAGAGGTCGCTCGAAAACATGAAATTTTTAGAATCGAGATTTTTTTCAACCTAGAAAATGACAAAATAACGATAAAAATTTTAAAAAAATTCAATTTTTGACGATTTTGGAAATTTTTTAAAATCTTGAGCGACCTCTAAAAAAATTCTTTTTGAGCTGTTTTTTTTTAGGGAGCTCTTAAAACACGATAAACTAACATATTTTCACAAGAGACACGAAAAAAATATTCGTTTTTTTTTTTGGGCCACCCTAATAAACATGTATACACAAAATTTATATAATGATAATTTTTATCCTAATTCTTTTACTGTTGATTATTATTATCAGTAAATTTGTCATACTTGTATGGTGAGGAGTAGATATACGGTTAAATAAAATAAATTAGCTTAAAAATTAAGAAAATTTGAATTAATTTAATAAAATTAATTGTTGTCTAGAAAGTGCAAAATGTTTAAAAAATTGGAATACATAAATATACGTAAATTGATTTTTATGCCCTTGACAGATATTACGCTGTCGAATATTTCACATTTTTTCAGTTTTCGAGTAGTTTGTAATCGTAATTGAATGTCTAATACCAATTTTCGACGAGATTGGCGCCTGTATCGATGCGCGCGTGTCCGTGTGGTGCAGTGTCGCCTGAAGATGGTCGGTAGCATGGGCAGTGATGAAATGCAGCGGCGGCTTGTGCTGATAACAGCCCGGGTATCTGCTGTAGGTGTGCCGTGAATACCAGCGCGGGGCGTGCAAACGAGCAGAGTCAGAGTGCCGCTTTGCGCATCCCGCTGACTCTGTGACTGCCAACGAGGACGGCACTGTCACTGTCTGCATGGATGCAGTCAAGGGCCGCTGCAACCGCGACCCCTGCCGCTATTTCCACCCCCCTCTGCACCTCCAAGCCCAAATCAAGGCCGCACAGTCGCGGGCTAGCGCGGTATGCTACGCAATCTTAGTGCGCACGCTCGCTACTTTTCTATTCTGTCTGTCTGTTTGTCAGTAGTTGTGGTGCGGAGGTACAGGTCAGGTGTCGTAGACTTTTGATGATTACATTTTGAAGACGTTGAATCAAAGCAGACGTTTCGTTTAGTCTCTTCTGTGTAGTGTTTTGATCTTATGGTGTTTTAACAAATACTGTTTAAATTTTTATTCATTGATGCTATTTCTATTCAAATAAAACATTGAAAGTATCGGTGATGTCCAAAGTTGTTTAAAATTTATCAAAACTAATGTTAATGTCTTTGGTAGACTGATTATATACTAATCACTCAAAAAAGATATACGATGAAGTAAAAACGAATCAAATCATATGTGGATGGAGCTGTCTCAGACGCAAACTTATGAGGGGTGACATAAAGCAAAAACTATACAACACAAGCACAAATAACAAACACCAATATAACCAACATAAATCAACATTTTAAGAAAATAACCATACGTTTTGTACATGCGCTGATAAGACCAGATAATAAGAATTCATGCTTTTGTATGCTATCCGAATACACCTGTTTGGCCATGTTTACGTATTTCCGCAGAAGCAAGAAGCTGATGCTCCTTTATTGCATGTGTAGACTGGCACAGTACTGACATTATTTTTCGTCTCTATTAAAAAGTCAATATTCTAATCTTAGAATTGCATTATAATTATGGATTTCACTTCATTTACATTTTAATTTTATTCAATATGAACGCTACACACGCCTTTTGGTTGTATTCCACTAGTAGAGCAAGTTCATCCTTAATAAGGATTTAGGAACAGATTTTGTGAAACCGTTTTCAAAACTTCTGTCGTATTACTCCTGAAATTTTTTAGGAGCAGCCAAACACCTTCCTTTCGTTATTGTTTTAATTATCTTCAGCAGTAAAAGCAGATTATAAAAAATTCGAATTGAAGGTTGAAGATAGCTAAAATCTCCTTCAGCATAGACTATATCATATCCTCAACTACAGTGTTATAATACTGGATTGCTAACTGATTAGCAAATAATTAAATCCTTTTCGTCCAACTTTTCCAAGATTCCTCTTCAGTATTTAAAGTTTTCTATTTGTACTCCTATTTGGAAGTACTAGTAATGTTTGGTGAATATATCAATCTTGCATTTACAACAATACATCTGCTCAAACCAACAACTCTATTATATGAGAACTTTTAGCCAGTAAACAAATACCCTTGCTCGGATCTGACCCGTTATTCAATTGGTCAGATCGTGACATCGGGGCAGAATACACAAGAAATATAGAAATGATACATGGCATGAATGCCATGAAATAGCAGTGGTACAACGATATCTCTGAAGACAGCTCCACAAAACCTGGTCCAATTCTGAAGGGTGAACTAATCGCCAACATCTTCCTAAAGGGACTACTTTATTGTCAGATCTACTACGAACATTAGCATTAGAATATTTCAACTAAAAAAATATTGCATTCCTATTTACTTCGCCCAAACAAATATCTTTTAGTTTTGCATATACATAAATAAGTTTATAACATATGTATTAGAAAAGGAAATTCACAGTTATATAATATAAATAATGAAATTGATATTGAATAGATACCTTGTGGTGTTACCTGTCACTCTTTCATTTGTTGACTTATTAATAATTTATCATCAAATAGTCTACGACATCTGTCTACCATCGCACTATTTTTAATATGTCATAACTGGTTTTGTAACAGGAACTTTCATTTCGTTGAAGTAAGGGATTTATAAGTAGTTGTAGTAGTACCAGTTATGCCATTGATTTCTTGCAAGCTAATAGCTCCTAGAGTGGTTTGTGTTTTGTCAATAACAAAAATTGATTGCATTCACCGCTACGTCATCCGATCTCTTCTTACAATTAGAACTAACAAGGGGGAAGATCGTAGTTGTGGATAAATCTGGTCTGTTGTGTGTTTTCTACCTCTCTTATAATAGTTTTATGAACAAGTTCATGCTCTCACTAATACTTTATAATAGTTTTTTCATTCCTAGCAGAGAGGAACGCAAAAGATTGTTCATATTGCAAAAGAGAGAGCGTTATCGTTTGCCGGAAAGGCCCCCTTTTATATTGCTGGTAGTTTTTAAGTGTGGCTGGCATATGTTCCTGATGCAATGACTTGCGGCTATCTTCTACGCTGTCTGGAGCTAGGGTGGTAGAACTACGTAGGTAGCAATTCAACTAGAATCGTCTCTGTGTCCGTAGCTGGTCTCCCCCCCGATTGATTTAATGTTTTAGCATGGAAAGCTGTGCTCTGCCGACAAGCCCTGCTCTTTGACCTCCCGTCACCGCCAAATACTTTCACTATATTGCGACCCCGCCACACCTTTTCCCACACGATCCGTTTTATCCAACCATTTCAGATGGGCAAAAATGTATTAATCGTCCAATTCAATTCGGGTTTTCTTTGAAAGATGAAGTTTGAAATATTCTATGACGTCACATGACATTTAAAATATACTCAGTTATCAGACTCTATTTATTATTTTCTTTTTTCTTGTCAATTTGACAAAAGTGGGTTAAGAATTTTTTGTATCTGACTGCGCCACTGGATTCTGTATGCCCTAGATTGAGTTTATACCAAATTTCATGAAAAATAATCATTGTCCAATTGTTAAATTAGTGTTAACGAGTTCTCCATTCTCTTTCTTGCTAAAATGAATTAATTAAATAGAATAACGAAATATTTACCAGTTTGCTCTGTTTGTGGTTTAGTCCCTTTGCCAATATATTTTTTATTTTAATGGATGAACCATTTATTTTTTTAAATTGCTAATAACACAAAAAAAAATATTTCAACCACAATTTAAATTTTTTAAAAATTATATTTAACCTTCGTTTTTTTTCTATGAATTTGTATATCTCTTTGGAAAAAATTTCATAACAGTTCTTAAATGTTTGTGGAATAATTACATACAATACATACAATTAAAATGTTTTTCATTAAATTCTATCCGAACTAAATTGATGAGGTGCAGAATTTAATAAGATGCAGTATGGTTTTAAATATGGTAACCAATTTTTGATAAACTTGACAACGAAAAAACAAAACAAGTAGGTAGGCTTTTATAACTGAAAATATATATTTTTGATCTTTCAAAAAACAATCTGAATTGAATGTTAAAGGGGTTTTTATCTAAAATAGGCCATATGGTATATACATTGTGATTCGAGGTTACCGTCCAAAGAGGAGACATTTTTTTATTTATTTATTTTTTGGAAGAACGAAACCATAAGAGAATTGCTTTACATGTTACCATGGACATATTTAGATTTTGATGTTCATATTAGAAGATGTTAAATAGCCGAAAGCGATTAAATAATTTTATATTTAATTCCGCAGTTCCGCCTTATTTATAATTTTCTTTTTGAACAAATATGAAAAACATAACCGTTATGTTGAAAGTAAATGTAATGAACTTATATTTAATTTAATGGAATTTTCGTAAAGAAACCAAAAAATAGTTTTTATAGTAGACCCTTGTGTAGAAAGTGATAAGCAACAAGCAAAGTTTTTAAAACAGCTAAGATTTTATTTATTTTGTTCTTACAGTCTCATCGTTTGTTTAAATAACTACATTGGCATGTGTATTAGACAGGAATATTCATATAAATAATTTCTAAAAACCACTTATGGTGCAAATAAATATGTCAATGCTTATTTGTCGTTTGTTTTTTATGTAGTAATATTTAAGGCCAATAAATGGCTGAAAAAAATATCTAGTGAAAAGAAGAAACAACAAATATGTACTGCAAGATCTGGATAAGTAATGTAGTAACGTAATTAACTAAGGTCAGTTGTGTTCACCGGTCGAGTTCATTTTCGGTAATAATGTCTAAAAAAAATAAAATTAATAAAATTACCACCAGAAGTTGAAAAAAGTTGTCAACGGTGTGACATGTCGACGGAATCACGCTTTAAAAATTTTTAAAAAATTCAAATGTGTTCGTATTTTTAATTACAAACCATTTTCCTTTTATATTTTGAAAAATTAATTTTCGGTTAGGTCACAATCATATCATTTTATCATTCTCTGAATTCAATATTTGTACATTGAAATCCATAATATGTCTTTCGTAACTCGTTTATTTTGACAAACGATTTAAAGAGTAACTTCCTACAAAGAAAAATAAAGAAGTTACCCTTCAGACTGTAATTAGAGAATATACAGTGTTGTCCCGGACAATGTGATAAATTGGTCACTATGTAATATCTGTATGCACAATAACTAGAGCAGTTCGACAAAGCAATTAATTGTAAATTTATCACACTGATCGCACATTAATCATATTGCCCATTTTTCTTTGAATAGTGCCACAGTTAAATATAATTTGTAAGGTCATTACATTTAAATAAATGTGGACTGGATTATGTTAGGTAGATTTATATGTATCACACCGTCCAAATATAATTTAACATTATGCATAGTGCCCAGTCAGTGTTATAAATTTACACATATTTGTCACTCTATTCTCTCGCTATTATGCATATAATATCCGGGTACCATACCCAATAATGACATTGTACATAACATGTAGATTAACTGTTTTTATTTACACATACAATGGTTGACGTATTTTTCCTGAATTTATTGAACATTTTCCTAGAAGAAAATTATATTGTTGATTACTATTACTCTCATCTAAAAAAAATACTTCTTAAAGTCTTACAATACTACACTTTTATGTTATATTTTATTTTTGTTATTTATATCAGTTTTATCATTAAAAAGTCGTTCCTTACAAATGTTGGTGCAGTATACTTACCTCTTCCAATTTTATTCGTTTCTACATTAAAATTTCTTGATTATATTAGATTGTTGCTAATTAGCAATTTCGAGAAACATTTAAAACTACTGCAAATTAATATAACCGATATAATTTTAGAGTATTTTGATTACCAGATTTTCATAAAAAGGTAAAATATTTAAAGATAGAATGGTATATCCTTTATAGG